TGACAACGGTCTGTGATAACCCTGTACACGGGCTGATCCGGGGTCAAGACCTGAACTTAGGAGGTCCCAGTGCTTGCACAGGTTAAAGTGCCCTTCCCGCATAACCTAGAGGTTGATAGGGATTAGGGTCGAAGATACGGGACTGTTCGTCGTTTATTAAAAAACAATAATAAGCATATTGTCAATTTGAATGATATAATAAAATGGCAGTTTTAAACTTTCCCATGTAAATAACCATGAGAAATAATGTTCTAAAACCACTTTCATACAAGCAGAAAGTTCGAATAAGTCTCTGCAGTCTTTGCAGGTACAAAGTAGCGAGCTAAAGCGGTTTACCGGTTTTATTCGAAAAGTAGAGAATTCGGTGAAGTTTTTTATCATTCAGGGTTTTAGAGCGGTTGGTTTATACTGAATTTGACTTACTTATCATTAATGAGCATTCTTGTACCGTCGTGGTGATAATTTAGGAATAAAAAAGTCTATTTTTTCAAGTCAACGAAAGTAACGTTTGATATTCATGTTACAATCAATCAAAATATGTTTCCAAACATGTAATACAACAAAAAAGAAAAAGCATTAATTATTTTCATTAATAATAAAACAAATGGATCAGTGACAACAGCAAGCACTGTGGAGTACATATTTTATTTTATTTTATTGAGGCATGATAAACAATTGTACAAATTGAGTTATAAATAGTAAGAATAACCGTATAGCCAATTGTACAATCAACCACATCATCGACAGATTACATAGCCCTGATAGTACTTCTTGCGCCACCTTTCATGCACCCTAAATTCTAAATATCGATGTTGAGTAAAGTTTTTAATTCTCACAAAAGAAAATACACACTGACGTGGAGATTGAATAATACCAACCTGTTACGAATAATATAAATTTACAGGCGTAAAAATGACACAGTACCTATTAGTAACTCAGATATTAACCATACTTTCCCAAAGTGGTCCCTATCCCTCAGTGGTCGCTGAAGAGTCCTCGGAAGCAATTGGGAGCATTGATGCTGTCCAGGGCGTGCTATCGCAAAAACCTAAATTAATATACATACATTATATAAACTGCACTAAATATGTATATATTTTTGTCCTTGTGATCTTTTTGTGTTAAGTTAATAGGTACAAAAAATACGTGTTTTCAATATTTTTTTGTGGTGGTGTACGTTGGAATTTTTTTTATTTTTGCCTAAGTGATCCCAAAAGTTTGGGAACCTATGATCTAAACACTAGTTCGAATAAAACTCGTCGATTTCAGAAAGGCCGAACCAACTTAATTTTACGAGCGCAAATGGGTCGTATAATTTAAAGATTCTGTGTTTCGACCGAACTGTTGGAATCATAACATATTAGCCGGTGCCCGCGACTTCATCTACGTAGAATAAGTACTTTCAGTAGCCTGCTTTACTACTTACTTGAGACATTATTGATTCTCCATACACACTTTCATCCCCTATTTCACCACCTTTCATATTTATTTTTGTGAGAAAAAGCAGCCTATGTCCTTCTCATAGGACAAACCTATCTATGCCAAAATTCATCAAATTTGGCACATGCACGAAAACGAAACTGACAGAGTAACTTTCGCATTTATAATATTAGTGTTTTGTATTTACTATTAATGACATTTACTAATAGAATGTTATATTTAATATATTTAACATAAGGAAATTCTAAACCGAGTCTAATTATAAACTGTGGCCTAACACACAGTTACAGGCATGATGAACATATAATTCCCGCAGATTGCCGCGTTTGATAATTAAATTTGTAGAATACCAAATGTGAACCCAACTGAAACGCAAATTCCCCATGTTTGATCCCGATAATTTAACATATTCTGTAATGGATCCATCCAACAGGGTTGCTAAAATAACACTTAATAGATTCCAGCGTTACTTTGCAGAAATCCACGTTAATAATAATGGAAGTAATTACTTTGTTACTCCGCGAACCCAAGCGCAGCTGCTTGTGTTGAATATTTTTCATGCAGTTAAATTTCTTAGGCCGAGTGTTGAACAATCAATAACTCCTGAGGACGACACCTCGTAGAGAAGCGTATGATTGTAGTTGCGCTTGTGTTATTAATTTTATGCGGAGAGAGGGTGGCAAAGGATTTTATAAATAACACGAATTTCGAATTTCGAAGTCAAAAATATATCCGACATAAAGGTGGTCAGTAAAATATAAACTATCAACCCTAGTTTTGATACTACTAAATATTGACTTCAATCTTTTGATCACAGTGTTTGTATATTTGTGGATCTTTTTGCACTTCCTTGAACACCAGTTGTACACCGATGTAGTGTCACTTTTCACTTTATTTAGTTACCATAATTTTTAAATGTTTATGGAATAAAGTTTTTAACGACACGCTATTAAGGAGTTTGCGCCTGTGACTGATCGATCTTTTTACAGATATGTAGATGTCTTTGATGGTAAACCTTCAACCGTTCAACATAGTTTTCATCACATATTAATAACCTTTTTACGCTTTATGCTTACGATTTTTTACGTAATCGAAATAATCGTCATAAAGTTTTATATTTCAGATTATTACAGATATTTAATGAAATTTTGGATAGTCTGTTATTCGGATATGATTAATAAATATATATAGACCTTCTTAATAAAGCTATCTTTTTGGGAGTGACCTTAGTACTAACTTCAATTTTTATAATTGGTTTCCACATATATCTTCATTAACCAGCAGAATAAGCACTGCTGTATACGCAGTCCGCAGAATACGTGAGCTTACCGATGTTGCTACTGCTAGATAATTTACTTTAGTTACTTCCATAGTATAATGTCCTACGGGATTCTCATGTGCAGTAAAGCGGCAGACATACAAACCATATTTGTGTTGCAAAAACGAGCGATTCGTTCTGTGTACCATTTAGGTTCTCGGGTTTCTCTCAGAGAAAAGTTTAAGGAGACTGGTATCATGACTGTAGCATCTCAGTACATTTACTCAAATATTTTGTATGCCCGTAAAAATATACATAATTTCATTGACAAAGAAGATATCCATAATATTAACCTTAGAACTAAGTCCAAACTCATGGTACCACGATTTCGTTTAACCAAGGTAAACGATTTTTTTATGGGGAACTATATACGTTTTTTACAATAAGATTCCTGAGAATATTAAGATTATCATTTCCTAAGTTCAAAGCGTACATTAAAAGTATTTTAATTGATTAGTCATACTACAAAATTGAAGAGTATGTTTTAGATAAAGAAGTATGGAAAGACAACATTAGTCTAGATTCCCCACAATTATGATTTACAGTGTATTCCATAGCATTTAAGTTTATTTGAAAAGAGCAATCCCTAGAGTTTCTTGCTCGTTCTTCTCAGGGAGGTCACCGTAGTGAACGAGCACTAGTTTAAAAAGTAGCTTAAAAAATGACGTTTTCAAGTGTAAAAATTTTACCTATGGAAAAAGTGATTATTTGACTTTGATATATTTATAATGATAAATATATATATTAAATCTGCTTTTAATCCATTTTTTGAAACCACAAGTCGAAATCGTATTTTTGTACGATTGCCAGGCCATTACGGAGTTCATATTGTAATAGCCCAGAGGCTAATTTTAAGCCTATCCCTTTGAAGGTACGAGGTAACGCACGAAATTAAATTAATTCCAATATCAAAGTGATTCGCCTCAGCATTCCGAAATACCGAACAAACATCTCGAAAACTTCACCGGGTGGGCAAAAACGGCGGCTAAAAAAACTCATTAGGAAAATGTTACCGTGTGGGGATCGTTAAGACCAGAAAAACTGTGACGTCAGTTAGTTTTGGCTGGAATATACTCTGGTTGTTTCGTCACTACTTTACATTATCAGTATAATTAAAATATCGCGCTCGCTAGGCCTTAAAGTATTTTTTTTTTATAATATCAAGTAATAATAATAATAACGCACACACTCAACATAGCCCCGCACTAGGGAAACCCTGTGTCGCGGGTGCCATGGACACACATAGACAACCACAAATTACACCCAAACTCACGAGAGAAATAAATGTAGGCCACACAAATATTTCTCCCGGCCCGGGAATCGAACCTGGGACCTCTGCGTGGCAGTCCGGCATGGTAACCGTTCGGCCACAGAGGCAGTAAGTGATGGGACGAACAAGTCGTGCGCCTGATGGTAAGCTACACGCCTGTCCATAACATTTACAATTTAACTCTATGCCACTTAAGATTAAAACAATTAGCCCCTCCTAAGTCTTTTTGTATTCTACGTGTACATTATTCATTCGGTAGGTTAGTGGCCTAACTAATATAAAAATATTTGTTACTACTACATTTTTTCCATTTTTATGTTCTTCCTCCACATAATTGGAGCGAAATACACGTTACTATTACCGCTTAATAAATTTCCAAGTGATATTCTTGATAAAGTTCTAGGTAAACCAGAAATTCGTGGTTTCAAGGACCCTTGATCGAGGCTAACATAAAAGCACATGTAGACTACAAAGAAAACAGATACGACCAAGCTAAATGTCACATCTAGACATTTACGAGTTCTTTACTACACGGCCGGTTAGCCTATGCCTAAGGAGGCGAGCTATATTATGTAAAATAGAATTACGTTTTTGAAAAATCACACCTGATAAAATAATTAAGATCTAGATGATAGATACACGCTCGCTCAGAAATTATGTTTACCAGACCATAGATTATTATTCTGACCAGAAACATAACACACTCATACCCCTGCACTAGGGAAACTCCGTGTCGCGGGTGCCATGGACACACACATAAACAACCAAAAAGTACACCCAAACTCACGAGAGAAATAAATATAGGCAATACAAATATTTCTCCCGGACCGGGAATTGAACCCAAGACCTCTGCGTAGCGGTCCAGCATAGTAACCGTTCTGCTACGGCCAGTACCATTTAGGAAATACAGGGTCCATCAGGTTTTATTGATTATTACAAATACTTACTCTAGCATCTTACATTTGTTGTTAGGTACGACTCCACGAGCGAATGTTACACGAGCAGGCAAAGAAGATGAATGTGAAATCCTTAGCAGCGAACAAAGAGGACGCTGGTAAAAGTGTGGAGATACGCATCGCTAAGGTCGCCTTCACCATCTTCTTCCTGTTTATATGTGCCTGGACGCCGTACGGTTTAGTTGCTATGATGGGTGCTTTTGGGGACAGGTCAGTGAACAAACTCAATGTACCTTTGTCTTCTATTTCATTTATTCAAGATAAGCTCACTTTGGTCCTGATGGAAACAAAAAATGCGGACGAGAACGGAACACGTTTGTCTAAAAGACGCCTTTTTTGAGTTTTATTTAAAACTGGAAGTTTTCTAATTAGTATCAACTATTGCGTAGTTCGCTAGCGAACATTGCATCTAATACAATACTACATTTCATCACCAATTAATGTTGTTTTCATGATCAGGGGTATTTTAACTCCGTTGGCAACTATGATACCTGCCGTCTGCTGCAAAGTGGTCTCCTGCATCGACCCCTGGGTATATGCTATCAGTCATCCCAGATACAGGTCAGTGAAGATGATAAACACCGATTACGCAACTCACTCAAAGTCGACTGCACAAAAATGTGTGACACCACGAACATAATACCAGTAGGATAGCATAATAAGACAAATAGTACAACTCCCGCCCGTTCGGCGCGTCAACGCTAGTTTGAAGCGTAGGGTTGTTAATGATGATAAAGAACCACTAAGTTTGTAGCTATGTTTTTTTTTCTTTTCTTCAGCACTTATTGCACCGTACTAGGGAAACCCTGTGTTACGGGTGTCATGGACGCACACATCAGACAACCACAAATTACACCTAAACTCACGAGAGAAGTAAATGTAGGCCATACAAATATTTCTCCCGGCCCAGGAATCGAACCCGGGACCTCTGCGTGGCAGGCCAGCATGGTAACCATTCGGCCACGGAAGCAGTTAATTATTTTAGTTGTACCTACAGGTAGTAAATAACTTGAAAAAATTAAAGTGTGAACACTTTACTGTGTTCATCACAGTGTTACAGTGAAATAAACTTTATTAAATGCGGTACTTACGTATTGATATTTTTATACTGACATCGCGGATTGGTATGTCGATTATGAGAGTATGATTTTATGATAGAAATGAAATGCTGAACAATTCTGAATTTGAGGCACTTTTGATCAAACAACAATAAGCACGTCTATTTGATGTAATATTTTAAACACCGAACAAGTGCTTCAATTCTATACAATTAACGGCGCGTGTGACGAGCCCGCGCTATGCGACGCGAGTACACTGCGAGATTATGCGAATGTGTACATCCCTATACGGGGTGCGCAGCGGACGTACACACATACCAGCCGCTCTGCTAAGTTTGTACGAGGTTACACTACTTGTCTTATTACACTATGAAAATAGGAACGAGGAGGTATGGTATAGGACCGAGTTATCACTTAGAGGGTTTCAATAGGCAGCAAGTTTTATGGAAAATGACTTCAACTTAGACTAAAAAGAAAATACTTGAGATTATTTTGATCATTGAATTTATATTTCTTTGTTTTGAACCAGGGCGGAACTTCAAAGGAGAATTCCATGGTTGGGCGTCCGCGAACAAGATCCCGATGCGGTTTCCACAACTACCAGTGTCAACACTTCGCAGTCGCAGGCCCAATCCATAGACGCCTAAAAATAATACACCGGCTTCGACTACAATGAGCGTTAACCATCGCATTCGACTTCTACTGCATTGCACTTAGTTTATTGTAGTGTATGTGAATGAGAAAACTGGAGTTTGTAACTGTGGATGACTGTGAAATTTTCGATTTGGCTCGGTATGAATTTCAGGATAACCTTAAAGAAATTAAATAATGCCGGAGTACCTACCTCTCCAAACTTGATTAGCTGCTCCATAAATTTGTGACGATAAAGTAAGGTAAATGTTCAAGTATTTTAGGGTAATGGTACCAATGACCGACATTTTGATGGAAGTGTCTTTAAATTTGAAATAACTTTTTGTTTTTAAACATACACTCCCGGACAATAATTCAAGCCACCTCGCATTTTCAGTATTAAATGTCCTAAGTTGGAACAATGTTTCAGCTTAGAGCATTTAATACAATGCAATTGATTGATCAAAAACCATTAAGCAATTTTGTAACTAGTATACTAAACGGCTTTTCCATAAATCCTTGTTGGAAATTTGGATTTGCGAAACCGGGGGAAATCTTTTTCTTCAACGATAACACAACTTTTGTATTCTAGCCCTTGAAGACAAAAATGCGAGGTAGCTCGATTTATGTATCCGGAAGTATATGTTTAAAAACAAAAAGTTATTTTAAATATAGCATTGTATATAATATATATATAATCCTCAAGAAAGATTATGCTATAAAGATGTGAAACAGTGGGCTTGTCGGTCACTATAGTGTGAGGACTTATTGTTCGATGGATTTTAGAAATATCAGATTTTGCACTTATCTACTTATGATTATTGCGTCAAAAGAATTGGAGTAAATAACATACAATTTTCGGTGAAAACATTTCTTTTTGACAGGTTTTCCTGAATTTCTAACAAAGCTAACTCTATTATGAAGCTAGACAACGACTTATGGCTATGCAAAGGACACTGATATTACATTAGTATTTTTTTATCACGACGAGCAAAATATAAAAAGACAAAAAAAATACATTTTGATCCCGACGACCACGGCAAAGTATCTTTATTTTGAAGCAAATAAAGTTAAATGACGCAAGTTACACTGTTGTTTATTTTGCACACAAGAAAACCTCAAAGCTCTGATTAAAAGTTTCAAAGACTGTAAAGAAGTCCTGCCGGTGCAACCATGTCGGGTTTTTTCTGCTATTTTCAATTTGTTATTAAGTAAATAAAGTAATTTCGTAGCTTTTTAAATTTAATTAAGTTGGCAACGAATAAAGAGAGTTTGTTAGGGTACCGTGTCTAATTGGAAACAGTCATATCCGGCCCTGTCTGTCATTATCTCTTTACTTTCTACAATTAACAGAATTTGCATAGTTTTTTGTATTGAATATGATGTTTTTACTAAATGATACTCATCTACTTTTTGTGAAAAGACTCTACTGGTTTGCTATTGTTATCAATATAAAGATCGAAGAAACCTAAAGTAAAATTCCTTCCACCCGACTGGAAAATTCCTTCAACCCGACTTGACTCAAACCAGCGACCGTTGCCTCAACGTGGCTACGGCAAAGAAAAGCCGTTTTGATCCGCAACAAGCACAATATATTTGCATCAAGTTTTTTTATCGACGACGTAGTCGAATACCTTACAGACATTCGTTATCGTTTCCCTTAAGAGTCGATACTACGTCAGATCGAATTAAAATTTTGCCCGTGCTACTTAATACGGTTCATTTTGCTTGGGTCGAGCGGTAGGGACACTGGCTTTATTTCAGAATTTATTTTTTTACGAACTAAATTAAATCAATTTAAAAAATGTATATCGTATACTACACATGTTCTATTTAGTTCAGTTGATATAAAAAAATCATTGGTACATGAAAAGTACCTATTGAATACAGCGGGTTTTCTTTTGTAAAATGTCGAGGTAAGTTTGTGTTTTGTTCACTCGTAAAACATTTTTAGGAATCATGTTTTCACACCGTATAGTAAATCAGTTTATATCATTGACTTACAATTATATGGACGTCGTGTCCGCGTTAAAAAGTGTCCGAACTTATAGGGCGTTAAAATCGTATACAGAGCGTCATTCACGCTTTAGTCTTCGTTTGTTCGACTGACAGCGAAGCAAGCAAAATTAGACAGTACTGCGATGACATTACAATTTAAATTCAACGTTTTAGCTTTTTCATATTCCTTTACATGTCATTACGTTTAAATAGGTTGACTTGGGACATTTTTTTCGTGGTTTTTGTATTAGACCCGTCGTCCATTTATTTGTAAGTCAATGGTTTATATCCTCAATTTCACTATTATATATACTAATATTTTTTCAACACTTTCACTGTTATGCAGAACCAAACCAAAGCCATTTGAGGTTGTATAGACTCTTAAAATCAATTAGTGAAGTTGCTTTTTATAACGAACAGGGATATACAAAAGTATTCTAATAGTCGATACAGCAATTTGTACCAGAGGATATAACACGAAGAAGACGATATTCTGTGAATTAACTTCAAAGTACCTTCCTATTTATACGACGTCATTTAACTCTGTTGACACAAATTGGGGTGGCAATAGGTCGAGGGAGCCTTGTAGAATATTAAAAAGATGCTTAAAATATTACAATAACTTTGAAATCAAAATACACAGACTACTAATTCTTTGTGAATCTCTATATATTATTAACTACTTGTAAACTTGTGATAACTACTTTCATTAACAATATATTTACTCTACAATACCCAGAATACTTAAGTAGTAGATTGTGAATCAAAACACGAAGTCTGGTATATAGGTGTAAAGTCCTTGAGTACATTGAATCCATCTGTCACGGGCAGAACGTTTCGACGACGAAGCCTCATCAATTCTTTCTTCATTGCTGGCTAACTTATTCAAAATTTAATGTACCCATTAGTAGGAAACGTTCCCTTGATAATTTTTGAAGCAACCGTTTAAGTAGGTATGTAATGATTTAATCCGAACAGGTGGAGTAAAGTAACTGGCAAACAGCTGCTAAGCACCAAAAATTGTCCAAAATTAAAATCAAAACACGGTCAACGACTGAAAAAGAAAAATATACAGGGTTATTTGTGAAATACTGACAACCTTTTATCGTTCCATAACTTTAAAAAAAAATAACAAATTTTCCAAAAATAAACTTTCAGTTTTTGCTGTAAGTGTTGTGTTTCTCCTTCTATGATCTACGATCTACGTTTGTGCCGCCTTCTGAGAGTCTTCCTCCTGGACACGAATTGCCATGGCCGATCTGGATGTCTTTGTATAGGCTTCGAACTCAGGTTGGTCAGAGTTAGGGGAATTTGTTCAGGTGGAGATTTTCGAATGGTTCTAACCTGGACTGCTTGCGCGGTGCGACTCAATCGATAGCGCACCTCATAGCATGCAACTAACGCTTGAGGATTTAATGGCGGCTCCTAGTGACGTGACTGACTTCTGGGCTACATAGTATAATGAATGCCATTGATATGATAAGAAGAAGAAGAAGTTGTACTGTCACTTCTTAGATCTGTATTCGGTAGTAAGGTACCGCACAGAGTTCTTACCATTTAGAGCGGCACATTTAAATGTTTTTATTTTTGTATGAAAGTGAAATCTGATTAATAACTCAAATGAAAAGTCATGGAACAAAAATTGTTGTTTATGATATTAGTAATAATATAATCCTGTGCCTGTGGGGTTGTTAGTACTTTACAAACAACCCTGTATAACTAGAAAGAAGAAATTTCTTCATTCATTAGTTAAAAACCCAAAGGACCGAAAGAAGCTTATGTAGCTAGTTACCGATACTCATCGTACGCCATTTTTTCTCGTATCAGATCTGTGATTATTATTGTTGTCAAAGAGCTTAGATGGCAAAATTGCGAATTCTGATAAAGAAAATGGGAAGCAATATCAAAGGAAGTCAATTAATTTGCTATTCCGCGATCTCAGCGAAGGTCAAATTGTGCGAAATAGCTGCGCTTGTGTTGAAGATTTTTTTCATGCACTTCATTTTCCCACCTTTCCTTCATACAAAAAAATAACACAAAAGCAACTACGGTCGGAAATACCACCACCAAAAGTATACTTCCCAAGTGTTTAGGCTCCCTTCCAGGCATCCTCAGGAGTCGTCACTTGTTCGACACTCAGCTGAAAAATGAGCTTGCTCTTTTCTTTTTTATGAAAGATATTCCACAGTTGCCCGTTGGTGGCCTTGACTGCGCCTCCAGACAAAAGGGTGAACCAAAGGCTCTTAACCCGTATAAAAATTTGAGCAGCGAGGGCGCGGAAGCGGATGCGGCTCTCGGGACGCCACTGGGCACTTCCGCTACGCAGACGTGCTATAGGAGCGAATCACACGCTGAACTAGAAGGAATGAGGTCGCTCAGAGTCGGTTGTCATATTAATATCAACGTTATAATTAAAAAAAAATACCTGCACTGAAAAGTGAGTAGGCAACATTCAATTGTTTATTTATTATCATCCACTATTGTATGTACGTAATCAATTTAGTAGCAGTAGAGCCGCTCCTCGTGAAAGAGTTCGTCTAAGGAAGTACTGCCACCTTATCTATATCTGCCGCCAAGCAGTATTAGCATTACTGCGGCGGTCCGCTTTAGAAGGGTAAGAGTGCTGGTGAAATTACAGGCACATGGGACTTGTCAATTTATGTCTCAGGGTGTCGGGTGCAGTGACATTGCGCCTAGGATCTTTGCGATTCAAAGCTCTGAATGGCACTGCAACTGTTATGGACAGGCATTTTACCATCAGTCGCACGACTTGTTCGTCCCGTCACTTGACATTATAAAAAAAATTCATCTGTCCTAAACATTGGAAACGCCGAATTTCGATTGCACGCCTTTTACATATAACAGAAATAGTTAATACAATACCTAAATAGAATGTAGCTTAAATTGGGCTAGATTATGCAGTCTCAACGCGCCAGTTAGATTATAAAATGGTTATAGCAAGGCGCAAAAACACAAAAAACGAAATGGGTCCAAAAGAGCTTCCAGCATTTTATCGGGCCGTTTGAGCACTAATGAGCAGTCAGGCGAGAGATAGAAGGTTTATGACAGCATTCCCTTTTTAACGATTCAAATGCACTGTTAATATTCTCTGAAGTTGCCTTTTACTCTTACGATTTTAATGTTCGTTTTTCATTGGGTATGTAGAGAAACAAAGAGAATTGTTTATGTAATTACTCGCCAAACATAAGTAATTGCTACAAACTTTGCTTGATCACGTTCGACACGTGGGGTCAGACAAAATTATAAATGTGTAAGCAACAGACGAAAACGTATTTTTATCGCTTGAGACAATAATAATAATAACGCACACACTCAACATAACCCCGCACTAGGGAAACCCTGTATCGCGGGTGCTATGGACACACACATAGACAACCACAAATTACACTCAAACTCACGAGAGAAATAAATGAAGGCCATACAAACATTTCTCCCGGCCCGGGAATCGAACCTGGGACATCTGCGTGGAAGTGGCATGGTAATCGTTCGGCCACTGGGGTAGACAATGCCTGACACTGTGGAATTTTAGACGTAGGTGCCTTTACATTTTTTCGATTGTAACATTAATGTATTTATCGATTGTTAATAAGTGATAGTTACAATCGTCAAAAATCGAGCAAATCTCCAGGTATCGTACACATTAACCA